AGTCCCTCCTGGGACCTGCTGGGACCTGCAGTTATATCCCCTTTCCACTGAGATGTTCCTCTCATTTGAACCTTGGAATTAAAAATGAAGGGCCCTGGGGGCGCCTGGGTGGCGCAGTCGGTTAAGCGTCCGACTTCAGCCAGGTCACGATCTCGCGGTCCGTGGGTTCGAGCCCCGCGTCGGGCTCTGGGCTGATGGCTCAGAGCCTGGAGCCTGTTTCCGATTCTGTGTCTCCCTCTCTCTCTGCCCCTCCTCCGTTCATGCTGTGTCTCTCTCTGTCCCAAAAATAAATAAACGTTGAAAAAAAAAATTTTAAAAAAAATAAATAAATAAAAATGAAGGGCCCTGGGGCGCCTGGGCGGCGCAGTGGGTTAAGACTTCCACTTCGGCTTAGGTCATGATCGTACAGTTTGAGCCCCGTGTAGGGCTGTGTGCTGAGCTCTGTGCTGACAGCTCGGAGCCTGGAGCGGCTTCGGATTCTGTGACTCCCTCTCTCGCTGCCCCTCCCCCACTCATGCTCTGTCTCTGTCTCTCAAAAATGAATAAACATTAAAAAAATTAAAAAAAAAAAAAAATGAAGGGCCCAAGACGCCGTGGGAGTGGGTCAGACTCCTGGACATCAGCGCTGTCCGTGAATCTGGGCTGTTGTCTACATTTCTGTCCTCCCTTCTGTCCCACCCAGGGAATCGCTCAAAGAACAACGTGGAAATCTACGCTGCGGGCGGGGAGAGAGAACAGGCAACCCGCTCACTGGGACTGCATTCTGTGACAGTCATTGCACTCCAAGTCCATAAGCACCTGGACGGATGAATTTAGATCCTCAAGCCCTCTTCTAGAGAACCAGGACTCCCAGACTTCAGTCCCTCCAGTCCCTCCCTCAGCACAGGGTTCCCAGTTCCTCCCTCAAACACTCACACACGTGCACCCTGACCCTCCTCTCAGATTCTTTATTATCCCAAGTAGGCAAAATAAAAAAATAAATAAGATAAATACCAAATAACCCAATAAATAAAGAGGAGGCCCCACAGCAAACAGCCCGTGGCTTCAGGAAGCGTAGCTGGGACTTCGGCCCTGGGAAGGCCCCACCATGCTCAGAGGGTCCGAGGAGCCCACGTCCGGGGGCTCGGGGGCCAGGATCCCTGGAGGCTCCGGGGGTGCCGGAAGCAGGCCTGGCAGCGGCAGGAAGCGGGCAGGTGCCCGGGGGGCTGAGTCCCGGTATGGGGAGTTGTGGGGGGGCAGGCGGAGTGGGAGCCCGAGGGTCTCCGAGTGGTAGATGTTGTATCCGTCCTCCAGAAGCAGCTCCCGGAAGCTGCAGGCTGCGGGGTCAAAGCGGAGCTGAGGGGACAAGAGCGGACGTTGGAGATACGGGATTCTTCTGCACCTTCCTGCTGCAGGACCCAGGAGTCCCGGCCCCCAGCCCCTCCTCCGGGACACAGGTAACAGAAGCAGGCTCCCCCTTTACCCCTGGGCAGTCCTGCAAGGCCTACCTCCCTGGCTTCACTTCACAGAGACCAATATTCCAGCCCAGGGACCAGTCAAGGCTCTCTGAGTCCAGACAGAGGCGTCTGGCTTCCACCCAAGGGGTCATGGTCACTTTACAGGCCATGGGTCCCCTGAGCAGCCCTGTGCCCAGCGTGAAGCAGGCAGCTAGGAGCCCATGCGGCCTGGCAGGGGTCACAGGTCACAGGACTCAGGCGCTCCGTCATTCACGGGCCTCGTGACTCGGAGCTGGTGTGTCCCTGCCTGAGCCTCAGTTTCCCCTTGTGCACAAATGATGAGGTCAGCTCCCTCGTGCAGGGGAGGTGGCGAGGTGGGGGGGGCCACGCAGGGAGCACAGAACCAAGCCTGGCTCAGGCCCAAGGTGCGAGAGGTGGAACCCTGGGTGGTGAAGGTGATATGGGGGGGGGGGAACACGAGGAGGGGGGCGATCCCAGAAACTCACCGATCCATACAGTGTCCCATCTGGGCCCTGGCACAGGAACCTGGACGTTTTGACCCCCAAGATTTGAATTACTCCCGGCTTCAGGGCTTTTAGCTCCAAGAGACCTGAGAGGAGAGAGTGGTCAGGGGCTCAGAGGACCTCTGCCCAGGCCCGTCTCTCTTAGAACCAGGGGTCTAGGCTCCCAGCCCCTCCTCCCTCAGACCCAGGGGCCTGGGCCCCCCAGCCCCTGCTCCCTCAGACCAGGCTCTGTCTGTGCACTCACTCTCAGGGCTCCGGCGAGCGGTCCCCACCACTGTGCCATCAGCCTTGATCTCGAGGTGGACCTCTGTCTCCTGGGCGTCGTCCGTGTAGAGGAACCGCTGTCGAACTTGGCCCCCGAATTGGAGGAGGGGGCTGGAGTCAGGGATAGGGTGTGCCTGGCAGGCTTCCGGGAAAAGGACCCCCAGCATCATCAGGACCCACAGTCCCAGGTGCTGGGACCCGGCCTCGTCCCAGCCCATCACTGGCTCACGTCCTCAGGTGAGATCCGGGGTCTGGGGCTTGAGGAGCCGAATGGTCTAGATTCTGTCTCAGATCCTGGTTGTCTGGGACAGGAGATTCACGGATTGCACCTTAGTGAGCCTCAACGCCTGGGTCTTCGTGTCCGCGGATTCCCAGCTGACAGAATACCCCGGTCTCTTAGAATGGATGCAGGCACTCCAAAATTTATATCCAGACAGACCCGCCCAATCACCTTCCCCACACCTGACCCATGATATTTGACCCACTTGGCAAGAGCTAGGATTCCACCGTGGCCAGATCAGCCTGAGCCGAATGATGCAACCGGTGGTGGGGGGGGGGGG